TGCCACTGGCCTGAGACAAAAATCAGGTCCAGCGTGTGTCCACCCGTGTGAGTGGGGGCCTGTATTAATTGGGTCAAGTCCAAGGCCGTCATGGAAGCCAAGAACTCCTGAGCTGCCGCTGACGTCTCCCCCACTGATGGCAGGTTGAAATCCCCCAAGACCATAAGTCTGGGGGTCCCAACCGCCACCCCGGCTATTAAGTCAGGTGACTTGATTACTTAAATAGATATTAGCAAGAATTAGATAGCTCTCACTCTGTAGTTTTATAGAAAATACTTGTCTATATTCTTTTCGACCGAGTCATAACCTATTATAATCAATGTAGGAGGGAAGAAACTGGTAATGCAGCTTTTCCTTCAGCTGCTTTCTCCCATTTTTGAAAAATGATGAAAATTTGATATTGATCCATGTACTAGCTTCAGCTTTAAGGACTCCTGCTTCTGTATGAAGCACAGCACTGGACACAGACCAGTTGTTGAGGAAATTTCATAGGAACCTGGATTGGACAAACTCAGTCTTTAACAAGTTGTGAATATACCAAGTTGCATTCAAGCCTTTGCTAAAAAAAAACCAAAAACTTTTACTGGACTCAGGACAAACTGGATACCCCAGGATAGGCAGTAATGCAATCAGAGTGCCTTTAAAATGTAGCTGTATTCACTACCCTTCAAGTATAATATGGATAATTATAGCATCAGAATTATCTGGATCATATTTCATTAAATGTAGTAGTTTGGTTTAACAGGCTCATAATGCAGTGGGATGTTTAAAAAGTGAAATGTCTTTTTTTAAAAAAGGATTGTAAGATTGATTGTCCTCAATAACTTCTTCATAAGCATTCTTCATTTTTTTAGTTCTAATTATAATTCACGCAACTAAACTTCTACTAAATTTCTATTAAAAGCACTCTTTATTTTTATTTCAGGAGAACTCTGTGATGAAGTAATCGATCATTGTGTGCCTGAACTAAACCCTTGCAAACATGAATCCAAATGTATTTCTTTTGATAGAGAATATAAGTAAGTATGTACCATTGATATGTTAAAATACTGTATATTAAGCCACAAGTCTAATGAATTACTTTATTAACTAATTGCCACATTCCAGTGTCTTTCTATGTGCAATATCATTTTTAGAGAATTTATACTGACATTTCATGAAGTTGAAATGATTCTCTTGCTTAGTCCAGCACTTTCCACTTTATCTTTTTAAACTCCTCATTCAACAATTTTCTCTTGTCTTCCTCATCTTTATTCACCCGGCTATAGAGCCCTCCACACACACACACACACACACACACACACACACACACACAAACACACACACGTGTGCAAGATAAAGGAAATAAAACCACGCATCTGGGCACTAAATCTCATACCTTATGTTTTCTTGTCTTCTTAACCCCAATAAGACAAGAGCATATTCTGTAACAATGGAGAAAATAATACAGAGAGATGATAAGGAATACGGAGGAAGTGAAAAGGAATCTGAATAATAGGAAAATAGAGTCAAAATTATTTGATCAATTATGAAGTGTGGTCTTATAAGGATAATAGAAATGGCATATGATNTCATAACAGAATACATACCACTTATGATTTCTAGTGTTTGGTAATTAAACGCACAATATTGCTTCTTCCTCATTGAGTTTGGGGCAGAAAGAATTTAGCTATTGAGAAATAGGTCCTATAGTGAGTGCAAACGACTATATATCCAATAGATCTTTCCCTCTTCACCTGCGACATCCTGTGCCACACCAGACATTGATTTCCATTTAGGTTTTTTTAATGATTTGATTATTCTTCTAACCTTTCTCTTTTTTTAAAAAAAAAAGTGGAAGCTGCATTCTACCAAAAAAACAGCATTTAGTTTTATTTGTCTTTTCAAAAAAAAAAAAAATTGAGCCCCAAATGTACTTATAAGTATAACTATTACAACATGGTACCCTGTTCTAAAATATGTTCTATTTCTGAAAAAAAGAAGAAACAGGTAAACAGAATGTTCTATGACATAGAAAGGGATGGAGACATCTTCACCAACTGGCAAATAGTTATTTTGTGAATCACCACATCCATCAGTACTTTCAAACACAAAGGACTTTACTTCAGTCAATGAGAAGTCTTACAATATAACAGAATAAAATGAAAGAAGATTGATCAAATAAAATAGTATTTAAAAGGGAAACAAGCTAAATGTAAAAATACAGTTACTTAGTTCTTAGTAAAATCCTACAGATTTTGCCAGCTATATGTCAAAATGTGTCAATATTGTTAGACAGTATATCACTCTGATCAGCTAAAAGGAAACTGAGATAAAAGGAATCAGTGCAATATGAATATAGAGATATAGATAGTCCTTGAGTTACAATCATAATGGACACTGCCTATCACAATCTGATTTTATGATCTTTTTTGCAATGGTTGCTACATAACCAGTGATTTGCATAGGCATAGTTGTGCTGAAAACCAGAAGAAAAAGGTATTTATTTCTGGTTTTCAGCAAAACGTCATAAAAGTCATGACGTGATCATGGGATGCAAATGACCGTAAATGCAGCCCAGTTGCCAAGTGTGGTCATGTGATTGTAGTGGGAAACCAACTATGCCAATTTCATTTAAGGTCATGAGTACCTCCAGGGATATCCCTCATAACTTTGGTTGTAAGCTGACAACTTCCTGTAATAAGGGCACAATAACTTTGTGTCAAACTTCATGGTAAAATTGATAATAAAATAGTATGTGGACTGTTATTTCAATTGCTCTTGACTTCCAATGACAATCCCCTAACTTTATGGGATTTTCTGGAATTTTTCTTCCAAAAACAACAGTTTATAAGGCATTACAGAGTGCCGGTGTCAGAGTTGTTCAGAATTGTGGCATGGTAATTTGATTGAGATACATGCAGGGTTAAGTCTGGTGACTTGATTACTTAAATAGATATTAGCAAGAATTAGATAGCTCTTACTCTGTAGTTTTATAGAAAATACTTGTCTATATTCTTTTCGACCGAGTCATAACCTGTTATAATCAATGTATGAGGGAAGAAACTGGTAATGCAGCTTTTCCTTCAGCTGCTTTCTCCCATTTTTGAAAAATGATGAAAATTTGAAGATATTGATCCATGTACTAGCTTCAGCTTTAAGGACTCCTGCTTCTGTATGAAGCACAGCACTGGACACAGACCAGTTGTTGAGGAAATTTCATAGGAACCTGGATTGGACAAACTCAGTCTTTAACAAGTTGTGAATATACCAAGTGGCATTCAAGCCTTTGCTAAAAAAACACAAAAACTTTTACTGGACTCAGGACAAACTGGATACCCCAGGATAGGCAGTAATGCAATCAGAGTGCCTTTAAAATGTAGCTGTATTCACTACCTTTCAAGTATAATATGGATAATTATAGCATCAGAATTATCTGGATCATATTTCATTAAATGTAGTAGTTTGGTTTAACAGGCTCATAATGCAGTGGGATGTCTAAAAAGTGAAATGTCTTTTTTAAAAAAAGGATTGTAAGATTGATTGTCCTCAATAACTTCTTCATAAGCATTCTTCATTTTTTAGTTCTAATTATAATTCACGCAACTAAACTTCTACTAAATTTCTATTAAAAGCTCTCTTTATTTTTATTTCAGGAGAACTCTGTGATGAAGTAATCGATCATTGTGTGCCTGAACTAAACCCTTGCAAACATGAATCCAAATGTATTTCTTTTGATAGAGAATATAAGTAAGTATGTACCATTGATATGTTAAAATACTGTATATTAAGCCACAAGTCTAATTAATTACTTTATTAACTAATTGCCACATTCCAGTGTCTTTCTATGTGCAATATCATTTTTAGAGAATTTATACTGACATTTCATGAAGTTGAAATGATTCTCTTGCTTAGTCCAGCACTTTCCACTTTATCTTTTTAAACTCCTCACTCAACAATTTTCTCTTGTCTTCCTCATCTTTATTCACCCGGCTATAGAGCCCTCCATCCTTTGAACTGGAGATGGGACCTCTGTCCTATTCAAGCTGTATCACACACACACACAAACACACACAAACACACAAACACACACACACACACACACACACCAAAAAAGTGTGCAAGATAAAGGAAATAAAACCATGCATCTGGGCACTAAACCTCATACCTTATGTTTTCTTGTCTTCTTAACCCCAATAAGACAAGAGCATATTCTGTAACAATGGAGAAAATAATACAGAGAGATGATAAGGAATACGGAGGAAGTGAAAAGGAATCTGAATAATAGGAAAATAGAGTCAAAATTATTTGATCAATTATGAAGTGTGGTCTTATAAGGATAATAGAAATGGCATATGAT